ACTGTCTACTCAGTAGCAGACATTTAAAACTTCTCGACTGCCTTTGTCCTAATACACCTACATTTAATAAGTCATCAAGCTCTGTTGATTTGGTTTGAATTGTCTGTGTCTTTCTGTTTTCACCACCACTGCTATTGTTTAGGACTTAGTCCTATTACCTGATTCATTGGCATGTCTCTAACATATAAATCTAATCACTGTCACCCTGTCTCCTTCTCCCAATTTTTGCTTCCCTCACTTAAACACCTACCAAGACTCGTTTCTATTACAGAGGTGATAATGGAACAACTCCCTTACATATGATATAAGACTTTTCAGAATATATCCATTTATCTTCCAGTTTCCTTTGGTGCTCCTCTCTTGCTATCTCCCTACACTGTACGTATGAGGGAAGTCGAACCAAACTCTTCAACTATGCCATTGTCTTTAATACCATCATCTTCTGCTCTTGCTTTTCACTGTTGCCTGGAATGTATTCCACAGGCACCCCTACGAGATCATGTTTGTCCTCAAACAGGCTAATTGGATTTTACCTTTACAGTGAAGGTTTTCTCCCATCACCTTGGGGAGAATGAATTGTTTTTTCCCTTGGATTTTGGCTAGATTTTATTTATTCCCTTAGTATTGTACTTAAAGTCAATAGGTATACATGTGGTCATCTGTATTTTCTCTGTTAGACTGTAAATTTCTTGAGATTTGAACAGTATTCTAGCCACTTTTATACTTGGCATTTGTATAGTATGTTGGTCAGTGAATGAAGGAAGAAAAAAGGAATAAATGAAAGCACAAACTGGAGGCAGGATATTGGTCGAGTCATTATTTTAATAGTCAAGGTGGGAATTGATAAGGAGCTCAGCAGCAGAGTAGTCTTTGGAAAAGAAGAGAGAGAGGAACAGAGGAAAAAGATTATTTTTTGAGAGGTGGTGAGAAATAAATTTGGATAAGTCATGTTAGTATAGTTTTTGGAGAACATTGAAAGCCAGACAGAGGAATATGTTGCCTGTCTGTAGTCAGACATTAGGAAACCATTGCGGATTCTTGAACAGAATACTGATTGTGGGAGGGAGATGCTATGTTTGGGGAGATGACTAGGAAGCTGTTGCAAGAATTAGGGCATGGGATTATGGATGACATGAAAGGTAAATGTGAGATTTAATGAATAGGATAGAACATCTCAGGAAAAGGAAGAACAAATCACAGTATGATCTCAGGGTGTCTGCCCTAGGAGACAGGGGATAATTGAGAAGAGGAGCTGGTTGATCAAAAAAGAGAACACATTCAGTGCTAGAAAAATTGTGTCTAAGGGATGACAAAAATAATAAAGCAGAGGTGACTGGAATTTGAACCGGACAAAGGTAATTTGGGACATTATCCCCAAGGGAATGGGAATAGAATGAGGAGGAAGAGACAAAATGAGAGCAACGAGCAGTCAGAGTAGTAGAAAAAGACATAAAGGAATCTCTGTGGTCAAGGAAGTAAGGTCAAGGTCTACTACTTATTAGCTGTGTTACTTAATATTTCTCTGCTACAGTTTTTCCATCATGAAAATTGGGATACTAACAGTTCCTAACCCATTGGGCTGTCAAGAGGATTGAACGAGTTAACCCATGCAAAGCATTTACATGGTTAAGTGCTTGGTTAATGTTAGCCAAGAAAGGAGGGAGTCTCCAGTGTCCATTCTACCACACTACCATCCTCACTCTGCCCACTTTCTGGTTTCAAGTTCTCAGTCAGTGCCTTGAATAATGCTTGGCACATTATGGCTTTCAGTCAATGTCTGATGGATAAACAGAAGAGGATGAGAAACGAGAAAAGGTCAACGGAGTAGGCAACTGCTGAGCTCCGTTTTAATAGAGTTGGCTTGAGTAGAAGTAAAATTGTAGGAAGCAGAAAATGGTAGAAATATGTACAGACTACAAATCAGTACTGCTTGGCAGGAAAAATGAGATTATGGTGGCTAAAAAAGGAAGCAGAGGCAAGGGAGCGTTAAGCTCCAATAAAAAATGTTTAGATGTGTTACTCCTGTTTTGCTCTTTAAGTCTAGACATTGAATTTTACATTGTCTCCTTGTATTTTTTAACTTTCTCAAATGCAACAGTTCTTTTTGGTGTGTCTTTAGTAATATTACACCATAGGAAAGAATTGTTTAAAATACTAACCTAGCAAATTGGGATGTAATTTTCTTAATAGTAGAATGAGAAACATATGCTTAAATTGTCATGGAAACAATTATGTTTAGGTGTCTGCATTTGCCTAAATGTTCTTTATGGTTAATGATTTACTGTACTTGAAACTGCACCACTTTTAATAATCTGTTATGTAGCTACATCCTTGAATTTAACTATAATTTCCTTAAGCCTTTTGGTATTGCTTACTGCACAGGCTACAGCTGTACTTTAGTACCAATGGATAGAGAAATGGCTTCCTTTTATATAATTCATTGAGACTAGGGTAGCTCTGATGTCTGATCAGATATAGAAGTGAGCAGGATTTCAAGGCAAATATTGCAGCTTGGTAATGACAGTCAGGAACATCAGGGTTTCAGATGGCGATAGCAGTAGCTGTTTGAGACATGTCAGGTTAGTTCATTATCAGGCAAAAATGACCCTATGGTTCACATGTTGAAGATGACTGCTTCTTGCAATAACCACAGCTGTAGAGAAGGCCAGTCATACATAAGAGAAGCACACTAAGTCACTAGATTTTCCTCCAAGACTGAGGAAAATTCAGAATGAATAAGTAAAATTTAGCTCAAATGTAAAGAGTGCAGATATCTGCTTGGCCATTCATTGGGCTGGGATAATAAACAGAAACGCCATCTGGAAAGGTAACAGGAAATAATATTTCTCTGAAGGGCATGCTTAGTACAGTATGATAACCACACCCTCTTTTGAGTGTCTACTTTCTAACGCAGTGAAACATTTTGTTCTCTGACAGCATCCGCTGTTAGGAACCTTGTTATTGAAATTGTTGTCAGTAGGAATGACAGGCCCGTTTTTGCTTTGACACAAGGAAGTGGCCTCAATTTCCAACCTAGAAACAAAGCCTTCATTTCAGGGGCTCCTGAACACGACAGTCCACGTCCTGTAACTTTGTTGTTTTCGAGAAACAGGATCCTGACACTGTTCTTCAGTCCAGATCTGATGTTGACTTCTTTATAAACAGCTCTGCTTCAAATCTATCAAAACACTGCTTCCTTTAAATTTCACCCAAGTCTAACCATCTCCCAGATTTTATAACTCTTTGTTCCCGAGACATACCACACAATTTCTCTGGTGTGAGATATCCCTCATTGGAATGGGTCAGTAATCCTGATTCTCTCTAAATATAGGTTTGTCCCTAGTGGTCTTGGGCTGAACAGGTTAGGACAGAAGACATCAAAATCTAGCCAAGGTTCATGTCAATGGAGTAGGAAGTCTTTTGGGCAATTAAAATTTATTAAGAAAAGTAGGATTCAGTAGCATATGTTATGTGAACCAGAAATGTCACAAAAAATAGCCCAACAGCCTTTTACCTACCACCCCAATTATAATCAGTTTGTGTGTGTGTGTGTGTGTGAGAGAGAGAGAGATACTGTTCTCTACCAGAAAGAACCATAGTTCCTTGAAGTGTAGTTGATTCTATGACCTAGGACAGCGAAATATTAAGATTGGCTGGAACATCTTGTTGCCAGAAATAAAGAATGCTTTAAAAATCTTGTGCATAAGTAAAGAAAGAAGTAGGCTTACAAGGGCCATATTGGCATAACTTGAGCATCATAAGGAGAATAATTATATTTAATTAAGTTGAGACCATAATGATACTCCATTTTTTAAAATATTTTATTTATTTGACAGAGATCACAAGTAGGCAGAGAGGCAGGCAGAGAGAGAGGAGGAAGCCGACACTCCGCTGAGCAGAGAGCCCAATGCCGGGCTCGATCCCAGGACTCTGGGATCATGACCTGAGCGGAAGGCAGAGGCTTTAACCCACTGAGCCACCCAGGCGCCAAAATAATGATACTCCAAAATGGGAAGAGATAAACTGTACAAAGCTGTAGTTATAAAATAAAAGAAGGAAGGTATGTTGGAATGTTTTCTATTATTAAAATTAATTTCAGAGAAGGCCGTTTTTTAAGTGTATGTGTAAGAACATATGCAATAGTGAATGTACCAATTACAAGAAGAGGTAAGAAGGACCAGTGAGCACACACACAACCCCATAGAGGGAAGGTCCAACAGTGTTCCAAAATGAGATTAATCAAATGTCCGACTCTACAAAACTTCTTCTAATAGTAATGTGATGCTAATAAGTTATGCAAATTTTTCCAATAATTTTAGTAGACTAGATTTAACTGCGTGTATGCATATCTAATGATGAGGCAATTGTGTACAACAATCACTCAAACCTCTATAAAATGATTTTAGGGAAAGATGGTGCTACAGGAGGTGTACGCTTCTGGGTCTCTCAGATTCTTGTATCCCTGTTCCTATAAGGACTGATGTACCTTTATAGTATTTTTAACCAATCCGCGTGATATCCAGAAAGCCTTTCATTTTGCCAATGAATTATTTCTAGCATCGCTTATGCTAATTAATATCTACAGTGAAAGTGAAGATTATAGCGGTTGAAGTAAATGCCTGTTGACACGTCTGACATTTTTGAAGCCCTTTTGTTGTGAGAAGATCATGTAGTTAGAATGTCTGGCCAAGTAAATATAATCAATGACAATGCTGACAATAAGGACACAGCCGCAAGACTTCTGAAAAATAACATAAATCATGTCAAGTTTAAGTAAGAGGTAACAACACAAGGTAATGAGCAAGGTGGAAGTTACAAAAGTTGCCGACAGTAGTTTCGATTACTTTACGGGTTCTGAGGGTTTCTAAACAGCTTGGACAGGCGTAAATCACTAACTCTTAACCCAAGTCCTATTCGCTGCCAAATATCCTTGGTGAGGACTACAATTCCCAGAAGGCAACGCTCTGCTCCCTTGACTCGGCTTCCTTAGCCGGCCGGGAGATGTAGTTTACAGAATGACGCCTTCGACTCGAGTTTTATGCACTTGTCAGCACAGACTAGGCCGTAAAGGCCTCTCCTCCATCCGGGTCTTCCCATTTTCGGGGGTAGCTCGGATTGCTGAGCCTAATCTTGGTGCCAGGCTGGGCAGGAAGTCAGCTGACGGTCGGCCGACGAGGCGCTCTAGGCCGAATGACTTTCGTCTCTATGACCACAAGGAGGCGGTCTCGGGTGTCCCGAGGACTGCGCGCGGAGGGGGTGTGCGTCAGTTCCGCGCGGGGCTGTCGGGGAACCATGGCTGCCCCAAGAGGTGAGGTTGGGGGCCGCCGGGACGGGGGAGCCCGGGGTGGGGGGGCGGTGGCGTGCAAGCGTCACCACCTGTCCGCGCCCGCGGGGCTCCGGAGCCAGGCGGAGGCTTCGGGCAGGAGGAGTTTATTTGGAGTCGCTCTGTGGTGTGAGCCGGCGCGGCCGCCTGCTAGGGCGGCGCGGGGCAGTCAGCCTCCTGTTGCGGCTGTCTTGCCCTAGCCCGACTCCGCTTTGGGCCGTCTGGCTGCCCGAGACCGCTCCTGCCCCGACGAGCTTGCAGTGGGTGGGAACCAAATTCAGACAGGCTCGGGCTGCGGCGGACCGGGAGAGGGGCCGGAGCGCAGGTCCGGGGCTGGATCCGCATCACCCCGCGACAGGCAGGACTGTGCTCTGTCCCGGCCGTGGTCGTCGCGGCTGCGGTCTCTTCTGCGCCTTCTGCCCTACGGATGCTCAGAGGCTTAAGGGCATGCTCCGGGCGCGGAGCCCAAGCAGCGGCTGGTCCCTGTAACAGCCACAGAAAACATCACTGGGGCATTAAAACAGCGCTGGTTAGAAGGAACACTTCTAACAACGTGGTTAGAAGGAACACATTGATATTTTGGGTGGAGGGCGAGATCCACCGCTTTCCCCCCAGGGATGGCACATTAATCATATCTGATGACTAATTGCCTTTTCATGAGATTGCTTCTGAATAACCCCGAAGCACTTTGTTTTGCTGAGTGGGGTACGTAAGTTAGGAACAGACCTGAATTTCTGGACCTCAGAGCTGTAGCTAGGACAGGTTGGGCGACACCCGGATTCCTTCTCCACCCTCTCGCACAGAACATTTAGCTTCAGCTCTGAATAAATGTTAAACAAATACTTAAAGGGTATTTTTCTGCATGGGTGACAAGTTATTTTCCTGGTTGGGGAACCCACGTTTATTATAAAGCCCTGCCCAGGGGCATTGTAGGCATTCTCCCATTTCAAGTAAGTCCAACCTTAAGAGTCTTTTTGTAGCAACACAGGAAATAAGAGGAAAAAATAGAACTGTTTTGATTAATAACATAGGATGGGGATAGCAAGATTAATGATGGACAAAACTTCAAAATAACAGAATTCATCTGAAATAAATACTGTAAATTGCAGTAATTTACAGGTTTAGGTTTAATGTCACTAAGTATTTGTTGTGCGTTAGCCAAAAGTCTTATATGCCCACTATAAATGTATCATGCTAACATTATATTATAAAGATATATTGAAATATATCTTCTCTTTTAAATGAAAGAAATATATGTAATTTATTATATCCCAAACTAGTGTCAGTATGCTACATAATCTTGCAGTTGTGGCATTCTCAGGAACAAAAATCTTTGCTTACCAGTATGCTACATAATCTTGCAGTTGTGGCATTCTCAGGAACAAAATCTTTGCTTACCTTATTTAAAGTTAGCTGTGTTTTGTGTGTGCGTGTTTATGTTCATGTATTTGGAAAGTATTGTTTTGAAATAAATTTTTAAATGCCATGGGTTTTAAAAAGTATTTTGTGCTTGAAATTGGGAAGCATTTTGAGGTATAACATTAGATTAACTTCTATATACATAATGCTGTTTACTAAGTAATATCTTTGTTGCACATATTTTCCAGAAAATGTCAGTTTATTATTCAAGTTATACTGCTTGGCAGTGATGACCCTGGTGGCCGCAGCTTATACCGTAGCTTTGAGATACACAAGGACATCAGACAGAGAACTCTACTTTTCAACCACAGCCGTGTGTATCACAGAAGTTATAAAGTTACTGCTAAGTGTGGGCATTTTAGCTAAGTGAGTATAAATATTTTTTAGTATGTTAAATTGTTAATTTTCCACTTAGTTAAGGTATTCCTTTATTAGAAAATTCAAGCTACATTTAATTGTTCTAGAGCTGTGTTTTTCAACTTGGGCAGTTTTGCTCCACAGGAGATCTTTTTTGGTTGTGTCCACTTGGGTGATGCTACTGGCATCTGCTGGGTGGAGGCTGAGGATGCTGCCCAACTTTCGACAATGCACAGAACAGTCCTCTGCAACAGAGAATCATCCAGCCCCACGTATTAGTAGTGCTGAGGTTGCAGAACTCTGCTCTAAACCAGGGGCTGACAAATTATGACCTTTGGGCCAAACCCTGTTTTCTGCCTCTTTTTGTTGCAGCAGAGACTGTGTGGCTCACAAAGCCTAAACTATTTACCATCTGACCCTCACAGAAAAGAATGACTGACTTCTGTTTTAGAGGCATGTATGATAATAATAGTTAATGTTTCTTGCATGTTTTGCATTATAAGTGCTAGGCATGGTGCTAAGTGCTTTTCATATAAATCATGTAATTTAATCTGTATGCATTTTTAAGGTAACTAACTATACCCCTGTTTTACCTGTACAGCATCTGAGGTTCCTCAATATTAGTACTCACTCATTATTGCTCACTTTTATTAGTATGTGGCAGCACTGGGCTTTGAATGTGTAACATCGTATGAGACTCATTTTAGCTAAGGATGCAGTGTAAGAGGTTTAGGAATAGGGGCTTTGGAATGACACAGACTTAATTTTAAAACCTAGATGCACTGGGATTATGAGTTTGCACACATCTCTTAACCTCTCTAAGCTTTAATTTCTTTATTTTTTAATTGCAGAAAATAATATAGGGTTGTGAGAACTAAGTAAAATTCTGTAGGAAATAGCATTGGGGAAAGATTTATGAGATGCAGACCCTTTTGGGTCATATGGCAGGTGAGAATTCATAGAGGTTTCAAGATGTGAGTTCGTGAGAGCAGGGTACCAGTGAGGAATAGTGTGTGTGTGAGCTTTTAGACAGAAACAAATTTCATACAAGCACTTTTAAATTTCATTTAACAAATACTTATTGATTTCTGTGTTATGGTTTTATAAAAGGTGTTGAATATATGAGTCTGAATGAAAGAGATATGGTTTCTCCTTGCTTGGAGCTTAGGCTTAGAAGAGAGAAAATAAGCCAGTAAATACACACACGATGACATAAATCATGTGAAAAAATACTCTAAAAGTGGTTTGTGGAGGGAGAAAGGAAGAGAAAAATAACTTGAGGCCACATGGTGGCAAGCTTTAATATATTTTGAGTTTCGGAGCACCTGGGTGGCTCAGTCAGTTTAGTGTCTGCCTTCTGCTCAGGTCGCCATCTCACAGCAGGGAGTCTGCTTCTCCTTCTCAGACTCCCTCTCCTCTGCTGGTGTGCATGCGTGCTCTCTGTGTCTCTAGGGCACACATGCACTCTCAATAAAATAAACCCTCAACTAAATAAAATCTTTAAAAAAATTAATTCTTTGGGCTGAGATACTGTGGCAGCTTAACTTGTTAGGTTGCAGGTAGGGTGAAATCTAGACCTTTAACAGTTTCTTAACAAGATTCCTTTTTATGGAAATTAGGCTTTCTTCATTCTGGATAATGCCAGGTAAATGGGAGGTCTTATTGTACCTTTAAAAGGCAGAGTTCCAGAGGCAAAAATCTCTGTTTAAAACTCTACAACAACTTCTACATAACAATCTAAGAGTTTAATAAAATCCTAAGGCTTGGCTTCTTTTAAGACAAATATACAGATATTGGAAGCGTTCCAGAGACAGAGCACAAGCAGGCGGAGCAGCAGGCTCCCCACTGAGCAGAGAGCCCAATGTGGGGCTTGATCCCAGGACCCTGGGATCATGACCTGAGCTGAAGGCAAGAGGCTTTAACTCACTGATCTACCCAGGCACCCCGAAATTGCTGGATTTTAAAGTGAATATAATTTTTATGGAGAGTATGTTAGTAAATTTTCATGTGCTTATTCAAAACACGTTGGGAGAGACTAAATACCTGCTATTCATAACAAGAAAATATTTTATTTTTTGGAATAAAGAATATACTTAGAATAGTAAGAATGCCCATTTCTTAGAATGGTAAAAAAGTGAAAGAGAAAGGAGAATAATTTCAACGTAGGAAGTCACAGATTGATCTTTACAAAATGAAATGAAAGGACACTGCTGGTGCTTCTTTAGCAGTATGTGATGAGACCCTTGATAATGAAACTAAAGCCCAGCTATCTGGGAAAGATACCCAGTGGAAATGTTCAAAGTTGGTTCTAGATCTTGAAGGGACAACTGGTTTATATTAATAAGCTGTTAATAACTGTTCCCAGTTGGAAACAGTTTGGAATATGGAAAAGATGAATAAAATACATGGCCAGACTCTGGGCTGCTAAAAATAAATTGAACAGTTAAGAGTTGCAGCAAATGAAAGACCCAATAACTTTATATTTGTCTTTTTTTATTTAATCATGTGAGGTTTGCAAAGAAGTAAAAGATTTTCTAGATACTCTTCATTCTGTCATTTCTTTGTACACTTATTAAAACTGGTAACTTAAAAAAGTGGTTCAGAGGCAAATAGGATGTTATATAGTTTGTCAAAAGTACAGGTTGGATATTACTGCTTTATTTTCTGTGATGGAGAAACTTAAAATATCAGAAAATATTTGTGGTAAGAGATTAGATTTTGTTTTCAAATTAGAAGCAATACTTTATCACTTCAGAGAGGATAACAATTTCAGGACATTGTGGGAGAATGTGAAAGAATTATATTAGAAGTAACTAAAAGTTTGTATCTTAAAAATCTTCTCTTTAGAGAAGAAAAAATAAGAAAAAATTAGATCCTGGTGATAAAGTAAAATTTCTCCCATATTGTGAATATAAAGTTGATGTAAAAAGTAGACATGTTACCAAATTCTGATTTGAAAATTTTGGAGGGCAGGAAAAGGAAAAAAAACCTGGAACTACTATTTAAATGGAAAATAATAAAAAAAAATTATTAAGGAAAGTACAGCCTTCTTCCCTTCTTCCCAGTCTTTATCCCTATGATAAAGTGTAGTAATTTTATTGAGTTGACATAAATATTATTTCTGAACTTCAGTTTTATATGAACTATGCAGGGCTTTACCTCATAGACCAATCTTCAGCTGTTTGTTTATTTAGTATGGTCTCTACAGT